TATCTGTTATGCGTATCTGGCATGGGTTGTTATCCAATACAATAGACAAAAATTCAACCATAAAAAATACATTTAACAAGGTAATAATGATAACGGATCTGCTTTAATTTGAGTGTTTTATTTTAACTGCCTGGAGTGCATGTGATGTCTCTATAAAACAAGAATGATTCTTGGGGATCTATTTATAGACAAGCAAAACAAATGGCAAACGCACTCATCAATTCGTTAACAGCTTTACAGCAAGGTGCACATGAAAGGGCTTCAAACAGTAAAACATCAAAAAGTTTTCAGGCACACTCACCAGCCAGCATGCAAAAAAACCTGTCTAATCACTAAGGTTAAAAGCAGAGGTTTCTTTTCAGGTCAAATGTATTTTTCAGAAAATACTGCAATATGGCCATTGGATGGAGCTGAGGAGCATAGGAAATAAATACTTTTTTTCCAATGTTCCTCTGCTCCACCAAATGGCCACAATGCAATATTAGAAGGTTTGTTTTTTTTCTCCTCCATTTTTACAGGACGAACGTCTACAGAGATTCGCAAATAGCTCTGCGAATTGTTTATAACTAGACCCCTAAAAGTAAGGCAAAAGTATTACCAAACATCCCAAATACTAGAATATCAAACAGTTCTGATTGCTGGACCTATGAATGGGGTAACTTGTGAAAAACAGGCATTTACTTGTACACATACAGTATCGGTGTAGTTAGCTTCTCTCTTGGGGCGGGGGACAGACTGTTGATGGGTCTAATCCCATGTCCAGATTTTGCATGTAAAATGTTTGATGTAATATAAACAGATTAATAAAGTTGATGACATGGGATACTACTACTAATAATAATAATAAAGGGAATCATGTAAACTCCAATGTTTCTGTAATAATAATGATACAATGTAACTACAACTATTAGATCATTGAAATAAACTATTCTTCTATCAATCATATTTTCTACATTTCCTGCTTGCCTGTATGTCTTTTCAGGGGTCGCCACCTGAGGCAAGAGTAGGGGGGCAGCTGGTCACGAACTGGGGGGGGTGAGTTGGGCTCTAGCTGGTGTCATTGTGGTGCACCGCCCAGCCCTGACCAGCTCACTGACATCACTGGTTGCCAAGAGCTGACTGGGACGCCTGCCAAAGCATCCGTGGCTGCTAAGAGCTGGGAGGGGAGGTGTATGGCCCTTACACATCTCCCAGCCCAGCTCTTAGCAACTTGGGATGCTCTAGCCGGAATGGGGGTGGCAGGCTCTGCCTCCTGCCCCCCCCACGTAACTCAAGGAGATGCCGCCTGAGGCAACAGCCTCGGTCTGCCACATGGAGACAGCCCTGTGTATTTGTTTCACTTTTTTCATGATCTTGGTCTTTGGCTAAAGGTATGATGTCATGGGGTATGGTATTTTTTATTTTATACCATCATTATAATAATAATACAATCCTAAAAATATCGTTAAACCTGCGTGTCTGCTGAAAGGTGCTTATGTAAAGGAGCTTTCTTTATGCCATTATCACTGTTTGCAAAGTGTCTTACAAAATTACAGTGAGGTCTTATTATTAAATCGGCATATTCATGTGATTAATATCATCTTTACTTTAAAAGCCCGACTGCACTTTCAGTTTAAATCGGGTAAATTCAGTCCTGGTGCAAAAACAAAAAGGTGTTGAAAATCTTTGGCTGGGTTCACACTTTTTTTGCTGGGATGCGTTGTGATAATGCGTGCATTGAGGCAATGCACGTTAGTGCACATTACAGTTGTAGTGCATTGCAGTGCCATGCATTTTGAGGCACCCCATCGCAATAAAGCAACACAGTTCCAACGCACATTTGTTGCAGAACAACACAGCGCACAGTAAAGCACTACCATGCATTGTGGAGCCAAAAATTGTGCACGTCTGTTTTCACAGTTGTTTTGGTGCATAGCGAGCCAATTTATTTCAATGCAGTGCACGTTAATGCATGAAAAAAACGCGCGTTACACAATGCACCCCAGTGTGATCCAAGCTGTACTGTTTTTTTTCTTTAACCTGAGTAGAAAAGTGTGTCCCCTTCCAGCATGCTGCAGTGAAAGACCCTTACTCTCTTTGTGGAAGCAGTGGTTTCTCTGGAAAGGCCCTACATGCCCCCTGTTGAGTAAGACCTACAGTTCTGGAATCAGCAAAGCTCATGCTCCCTGCTGAGGGAGAAAGAGAGTTCTGGCTCTGACTCAGCAGAGGGCATGTTGAACGTCTTCCAGAGAGACCTCTGCTTCCACACAGAGAGCGAGGGTCCTTATCTACATCATGCTGGCACGGGGCAGGCTTTTCTGCTTATGCTGTGACTGCTTTCTACATAAAACCAACTGTAAAGGTGCCCATACACCTGCCAATTATCGTACGATAATCGCGGGTGATCCAGCGGTCGTACGATAATCGGCAGGTGTATGGGCAGCGTGCGACCGCTTCTACTGTAAGGTCGCACGACTTTCGTCTTCCGAGCACGCTGGAAAACCTGCCGAAAATCGTATGATTTTCGGCGGGTTAGTGGCGTGCTCAGAAGACAAATACAGCACGGCCCGGTGTGCGCAAGCGCACACTTACCGCTCTGCACTGCAATCATCGGAAGCCCGCCCCTCAGCCGGGAGGGCTTGCGATGGTCGCAAGTACGATCTGCCTGTCCAAGATGGGCAGGTCGTGCAAAATTTTAATCACCTCTATATGTATGGGCAGCTGAAGACTTTGTGCACCTTTTGTCTTGATGCACCTGCGATATAATTAGCTAATTTAAACTAAAAGTTCAGTTGGGTTTGAAAATAAAGATAATGATAATCATAAGAATGACGTGATTTATTAATTGGACCCAATTGTTGTAAAACCCTTTGCAAACAGTGATAACGGCATAAAGACTTCTCCTTTACTGTATATAATGCACCTTTTAGCAGACATGCAGGGTTATCCGTGCACTTAGAAGCCACACTGCATGATTCCCTGTACCAGCTGTAAAAAGAGTTAACCTGGAAGACGTCCGGCTCTCTGGATGACGCTGTGTTTCCTGGGAGTGAGCAAACTTTCACTTTCATGCTTACTCCAATATTACAAGAATGGCGTCTGCAGAAATGAGAGAAGAGCTGTACTGCTCCGTCTGCCTGGAAGTTTTTACAGATCCGGTAACTCTGAGATGTGGGCACAACTTTTGCCGGGTCTGTATAGATTGCGTGCTGGATACACAGAAGTCGGGTGCTTATTCTTGCCCGGATTGCAGGGAAGAGTTCCAGGATCGTTCCACTCTGTACAGAAACATAACCCTCCGTAACATCGCCGAGCGTTTCTTGTCTGCTCAGCCGGCTGAAGAGGATTCTGCCATGTTCTGCACTTACTGCACCGACTCTCAGGTACCTGCTATTAAATCTTGTCTGCACTGTGATGCTAGGCTGTGCAATAAACACCTTAAAATCCACAGCAAGTCACCAGAACATGCTCTGTCAGAGCCTTCCGATTGCCTGAAGGCCAAAAAATGCTCAATTCACACAGAGATCTTGAAATATTATTGTAGCGATGACTCTGTCTGCATCTGTGCTTCCTGCCTTACTGGTCAACACAGAGGGCACCAGGCCGAACCGATGGACGAAGCTTCGGAGAAAAAGAAAACAACACTGAGGGGTATCCTGGAGAATCTGACCTCAAAAGAAGCAGAAATGGAGAATAGACTCCAGAGCCTGCAGAAACACAAGGCGGATGTCCAAGAAAAAGCTGCTGGTGAAAAGAAGAGAGTGCTTGCCTTATTCGGAGACATTGCAAGACACCTGGGAGATCTGGAAACGAGAGTCCTGAGTGAGATCTCTGGACAGGAAGAGAAGATGTTGATGATGGTCTCTGGTCAGATGCAGCAGATGGAAACAAAGAAGGACGAGCTGCGTAGAAATGTGCGTTATATTGAAGAGCTGTGCAACAAGACTGATCCGGTAACAATCTTACAAGAGCAACTCACTGACTATAGTGACACTGAGGAGGGAGATATGGGGGATGGAGAGAGAAATGATCAACAGGTCCATGATTCAGGTGACCTGGACGAGGATAGGACTTCAGAGATGATGCTTGTAGGTCTATCTGACATCATGACTGTTGTAAAAGGAAGGCTGCGCTCTCAAGAAGCCTCGGGCCTACTCCTGGACGCGGCCACAGCTGCCAATAACATCAAAATGTCCGATGACTTGAAAGGTATCATCGCAACCAAGGAAGAGGAGGATCGCCCAGAGACGCCGCTGAGATTTCAGAAGTGCCAAGTTGTCAGCAGGCAAAGTTTTAGCTCTGGAAGACATTATTGGGAAGTTCTGACGAGTGAATCGGGGGGTTGGAGGTTTGGAATGACATATCCAAGCGTTCAGAGGGAAGGCGCCAAATCAGCCATAGGAGAGAATGACAAGTCCTGGTGTATGCGCAAGTTTCATAGTAATCACGCTGTAAGACACCATGGCACAGACCAACTCTTAGCTCATAACGTCTTGGGCAACAAGTTCCGAGTCTCACTGGATTACGAGGCCGGGAAGTTGTCCTTTTATGAGCTAGGTGATTCTCTCACACATTTATACACCTTCACCACCACCTTCACTGAGCCCCTCCATGCTGCACTGTATGTAATGGGAGGCAAGGCCTGGGTCCGCATGACAAGCTGAAAGGGTTCTGTAGCAGTAGTAGAGGCAGTAGAAGAATTTCAGGCAAACTGAATGTTTAAATTGTTTTAAACTTCTTCTGCTGACCATGCATGCTGCTTGTTGATGCGTGAAGTTCCCTTTCATAAGGATTTTCCTGCTCCCCTCATTGCTGGCCCTGCTGTCTGGTTTTAGGGTTACTCGGTTCCCTTGAAGGGTCCTATGGAGCCACCTTTACATGCACGCTCCCAGCCTGTACTAGAGATAAATGCGCTCTGTGTGCTACTACAGTGTGTGCATTCCCGCTAACATGCAAGCATGCTGCATAGGACAGTAAGCTACTCCCCTCTCCTCCAAGCTAGAAGATAGACAGCTCCTGGAGGCTGCACTGTTGCTTGTGTCCTGATGCTCTGTGTGTGCGCTCCTCAACAGGAAGTTCAGGGATGTAGTGTTGTTTAAAAGACAATTATGGGGTGAATGGAAAATACTCATCCACATAATTCAAGCCGACCTGTGACAAAGGAGCTGTCACAGGTCAGCTCTATTGATCGGGAAGTCAGCAAACACATACCGCTGATGGCTGACTTTCCGATCCTCTCCCTGCAGAGATTCCCCCCCTCCCCTCCTCGATCCTCCAGCACTGACTGGAGGAACGGATGGGGTAGGGGGCTGGCTCTGGCTCTAGCGAGGCAGAGCCAGCTGATATCCCGACAGTATTCTTGGGCTCTGTCCCCGCTGTGGCGCTCTCAGCATAAAGCGGGCAATAGTATATGTCCTCCCGTGACCCTGAGGAGAACTACGGGCAAAAAAGGTTGCCCCATAGTTATCCTTTAAAGTGGAGCCAGCAGCACAAAGCGGTGTCTGCATATACATATATTACTAAAGCTGAGGCTCCCAGACCCGAATAGCATTAGGGAGCTACCGAATGCAATTCGGAGATTCGGATCCTGAATGCCATTCGTGTCTAGGAGCCTCGGCTTTAGTATTATATGTATATTATACTTATATTATTATACAGGATTTATATAGCGCCAACAGTTTGCGCAGCGCTTTACAATATAAGGAAGACATTACAATCACAATACGATTCAAGACAAGATGGTAAGGAGGGCCCTGCCCCCGAGGGCTTACAATCTAAAAAGGAGGGGCAAGTGATACATGACGAGGTATATACTGAACACAAATTTTCGTTACGCCATGTGACCTTTCTGGCCAATCAGATGGCTCCCATGTTGTCGTAAAATTTGTGTTCAGACCCATTCGGATGCATTAGACCGAAAAACACATCTGATTGGCCAGAAAGTCACATGTCCGATTCAGTTTAGTTTTTGAACTAAATACGGACGGGATCCGATATTCAGAAACCAAAATTCGGATTCGGACACATTCAGATGGATCGGGATTCAGAAATTCGGATGTGTCCGAATGTCAGAATTTCAGAAAACTTCATCCGAATTTTGATTTGGAAGGAAACGAATAGCACATGTCTAGCGCCAAGCAGCCGCAAATGTAAATGGCAACACCTGCGGTTGAAGTTTGCAGCCGCTCATTCATATTCAGGAGAGTCAGTCACAAATGAACATGGATTCGCTGATGCTGCCCGAGGCTCTGCTTATCTTTCATCATAGAAATGACAATTCTCTGTACGCAAACAAGTGTTTCATTTCATCCACAGCTCAAAATGTAAATCTGTCAGTAGAACCTGTTATATTTATTTACCAATAAAGCTGGAGTTTATTTTACCTTCTCCGGTTCTTCCTTTCCTCCCTCATCAACATGCCAATTACACCTTTCTGTTTCCATTGCATACCTTATCTCATATAGTGATGTCATCACTGGGCCTCTGTGCTTCTCTGAGCCCTCAGCCCTGATGCAAGAAGTCGTCTGGCTCTTGGGAGGAGTTATACAAGTATTAAAATGCCTTGATGGGTGGGTATCAGACTGGACTCTCTGCTTTCTCCTCCTATCAGCATGTTCTTGAAAACATATTACAAGATTGGCTCCTTTTGCTGCTTCTCGAGCCCAGGTACTTGCATTTACAATACAATTAATGCCATTTAATTAGTATGGCTGCTCTAAAGAGGCCCTGTCACCAACTTATAAAAAATAGCAGTTAAAAGCAGAGGAAAAAAAATCTAGTAAATTGAATGCCTACATGCAATGTTTTTCTTTTGCATAGTCAATTTTTATTCACCTGATCTTGTTAGGAAATGTGACTGCTCTAGGAAGAGTCAGTTTCCTAGCACAGCCCCCTAATTTCTTGCATGTCCTAGCCCTCTCGTCTCCTGGGACTGTCTGTACTGCTCCAGCTCCTCCGCCCCTTCTGTTACCTCTGTACATAACCCTTTACATAGATGCTGGGATGGAGTGAAGTGCAATGCTAGCAGGGGGAGGCAAACTCTGGCCCTCCAGCTGCGGTCTAACTGCAAATCCCATCATGCCTATGCCTCTGGAAGTCATGCCTGTTGTGGCTGACAGAGTCCTGCAATGCCTCATGGGACTTGTAGTTCCACAACAGCTGGAGGGCTGGATGTTGCCTACCCCTTCTATACAGTGTCACTTGAGTGCCCGCTCAGCGTCAGGTGGGGCTGCTGACATGACATCCAAGATGGCGGCACCTGGCATGCAGTCTCTGAACCTTTGGATGCCTACACAGGGGAGGCTTTTACAGGTAAATAACATACAAAAATACAATTAATACATATATAATCTTATGAAAAGATTGTTATTGAATGTAATAGTCTGGCAACAGGGTCTCTTTAATTAGTGAAACACTTATAAAGATTTAATATGTTGATAAAGAGGAATATTCCTGGATCTCAAAGTAGGGCCAGACCCTGAAAGTCAGACGTGTCTATCTATGTAGGACTATAAGGTCCATTATATCAGAGTACAGTGCAACCCTAACGTCATCTCCGTTTCCCTGCTATGCCCTCAGTTAAGACGGAGTCTTGTGTGACCAGACCAATGACGCATCACTTCCGCCCTTCCTAGCTTCTGCTGACATCACTTCCGCCCTCCCTGGCTTCGGCTGACATCACTTCCGCCCTTTCGGTCTCCTAGCGTCACCACTTCTGCCCTCCCTTACACGTCATTGCCCTTAGCTAACATGGAGGCTCTGCTGAAAAAGGAGTTGAGCTGCTCCCAGGTGAAGCTGTCTGGTCACTCAGGAGGAGGCTGCATCAGCCAAGGCCAGAGCTATGACACTGACCTGGGCTGCCTCTATGTCAAGACCAACCACAAGGCTGAGGTGCCGAGCCTTCTTACTAATCATCACTAATAGCACCTCTTAGATGGTTCTTATGAGTGCTGCCAACAATCACTAACCACAAATGTCTTTAGTTTTGTGCTACATCGTGCTTTTAATTAGGTGTGATTATCATGCTTGCTCACAACACGATGATTATTTTTGACTTCAGGATATTCTTTCAGTTTCAGTCATTTTGCAGTATTACAAAATATTTCAATGCAACCAGACAGAATTCTGCAACAATGTAGTTATATTGTTTATTATGTGGTTAGGTTTTTTTTTATATGTCTTTGTTTACAAATAAAACCCCCTATCCCAGCAGAGATATGTGTATGTAAACCCCAATGCCCCCTTCATAGTAATATATATATATTATATGTTTGTGTTGATTATTTTTGCCTTAGGAGGGCCGCTGGGAATCAAATAAATAAAATAAGAGAAGTAGTCTTACCTTACCTTATGTGATCCCTGTAATATTGCCATATTCCAAACTTTATTATTATTATACAGGATTTATATAGCGCCAACAATTTGCGCAGCGCTTATTACAATGTATCCAGGTAGAATTTTGCAATAAAGTAACTATATTCTTTATTATGTGGTTAGGTTTTTGTTACATTTCTTTACAAATAAACACCCCCCAATGCCCTCTTCACAGAAATAGATTGGGCACACAAACCACAATTAATCCATTTATGAGGCTAGGCTCACACACCTGCACGACACCCGGGCCGCGCGATCGTGTGCCAGTACACATAGCGTTTGCCGCGCGGCCCCATTGATATCAATGGAGTGACATCCGCGCGGCAATCGCAAAAAAAAAAAAAAAAGGTACAAGTACCTTTTTTTTGCGACACACGATGTGCAGCTTTTTTTCAGCCGCGTGATTCGCCCGGCCTGACTGGGGTGCCATTAGAAATAGAAGTAACTAAGCTGTCTCTGCTACTTGGGTTTTAGTTGCAGATATTTGCACGTTGAAGCCACACTGCCGCACCTAACGCGACACTGCTGCTTTTTTTCTGTGTTTGGTGCAGACATACATTGGAAGTCGTCGGCTGCCTTTCAAAGCGGATGTCTGGGCTTGTGGTGTGTTTATGTACCTTTAAGCAGGGTATGGCTGCCTCCAGGTGAACCTGCTTTTAGTTTGCACATCGCTATATACGTCTTATTATTGGGTTGGGGGTAGAGTTAGGGGACGCACTTTGCAGAGGTGCCTTGGCGGGGAGGTGTGGCTTCAAAGTGTATTTCCAAATGTGTACAACAAAAGTGGTTGAGGCAGTTGCTGGCCAGCTTAAAAGTGTGATGGGGACCCCCTTTCTACTGACACTATAGTAATACATTCTAAGCTTTGTAATGAAAATTGTCATATTTTCAAATGACCAGAAGCCATTTGTGTCTTTTTTTTTTTTTTTTTTTAGGCAAGGAGGATGTTCGAGGGGGAGTTGGCGAGCCTGCAAGCTATTCAGCAAACAGAAACCATCCGGGTTCCCAAAGCCATGAAGGTTATAGATCAGCCATCAGGGGGCGCTCTGCTAGTGATGGAACATATGGACTTCAGGAGTCTTAACAGGTAGATTATCAGCCATGGCAAAACCAGATGTTGTGGTCTCACTGCTTCTGGTGCATTGTCCATCAATGAGCATATGATCCATCGACCAGTGTGAGACCCGGTCACTATGCCAGCAGCAGGTGGGCAGGGCTGGGAACTCAAATGCAGAGATAAAACAAGGCATAGACACACCTGTGTCATCCACACAAAAAAAGTGTGTGCATTGGCCCTTTACATTTTTTATTTTTACTTTCTACACGAAATTTCTGCAAACGCTATTAGTTATACAATTTTCCATTATGATATGCAGTATAATAATATTCACTGTGAAAATTTTTTTAAATCTGCAGCTTTCATTAAAATAATTCCCGGTGATTATGCCATGAAGGTCCTTGTTCAGACATTTCCTGTTATAGGGTGACAACGCTCTGTCCTTGTCTCCTAGTTGTGCTCCTGTGTTGTCACCCGCTACCCTAGTGGAAACTACAAGTGGTCATGCTGACACACATTGCACAGGCATGGTCCATCGTTGTTGCTTTAGGTATATTTTGACTAGCAGGGTGGACTGTTCCTTTAAGGGCGTTTTCTCTTTTTAATCCCTTCAGACACTCGGTAAAGCTGGGAGAGCAGCTGGCGGAGCTCCACCTCCATAACCAGAGGCTGCGGGACAAGCTGACCAAAGAGAGTGGGACTGTGGGTAATGACAGGTTCAATCCACAATTCAAATGACACCACATGCCCTCCACAGTGCAATTACTTCAGTGCAGCCCGTGTCCGTATGGAGATCTCCCATCGCTTCCTGTCCCAGTGACACCCAGTGTGTCAGGGAGGGACGGGGTGTCACTGAGTCAGAAAGTTAATGCAAGTCTCCAAAATGGGAAGAGAACAATAAAAGCCTGAGAGAGGTTCTAACCCCAAATTCAAATAATTAAAAGGAATAAACCAGCCGGAGTTGGTTATTAATGAGCACTATTAGGCCTCATCGTGCACACGGACTGAAGAAAAAGCTGCTTTAAGATACATATGGCTTATCCGTACCACTACTACTTACTTACTTACTACTAGCTGGGCAGTGAGGAAGAAGCTGACATCTACAGTCCAGTGGGTTTAACATCTGGAGTAGCACAATTAATTGAATCACTCCTAAAAAAAAGGATCATTGAATATTTAAAACATACAACATGCGGGACCCAAAGCAGCATGGCTTTACTGATCATGTTAGACTAATCAGATTTTTTGACTATATCACAAATGTTTTGGACCAGGGTGGTGCTGAGGAAATATCATATCTTGATTTCAGCAAAGCATTTGATACAGTTCCATATAATGATGTTATAAAAAAGACTTTAGGGATATCTATGGTCAAAAACTAGAAATACCGTATTTTTTGCTCCATAAGACGCACTTTTTTCCCCCCAAAAGGAGGGGGGAAATGTGCCTGCGTCTTATGGAGCGAATCCCGACGCCCGAGACATGCAGTAGGAGCCGCTGCTCGTTTAATACGAGTGATCTAACGAGATCACTCGTATTAAAGCCGAGCAGCGGCGGCAGTGATCGAGTTCAGCAGTAGGAGCCACTGCTCGTTTAATACGAGTGATCTAATGAGATCACTCGTATTAAAACCGAGCAGCGGCGACGATCGAGATCACCATAGAGCAGACGAAGAACGGACGTTCTTCGTCTGCTCTGTGTGATCACTGAGACCGTGGCGCTGTAATTACAGCGCCACCTGTCTCAGCGGTCACTAACTGCAGCTTCTGTCATAGAAGCTGTGACAGAAGCTACAGTCTGTCGAGTGCTCCATAAGGCGCGCCGGACCTCCCTGCGTCCTATGGTCCGGTGCGTCTTATGGACCGCAAAATACGGTACATATTTTTTTTTCTACATTGTATTTCCATAAGTTCTCTCCCCCTCCTAATAACCAGATCCATCTAGAAGAATGTAAACTTACTTACTGAAGATGCCCATAGGATGTACATGCTCAATGCACTGACACCATTCCACTCAGCCCTGTGAATATGCACTTTCTTGTGTCACAACCATCATAGAGCCTTCCCTCTGAACTAAAACACAACGTCTGAACAATGTAATATTATCATTGCTTGCTGGAAGCAATGCATGATGGGATATGTAGTGTTGAGAAATGGAGATTCCATCACATCAAGCAGCAGGGAAAGAGACGCAAAGCACACTGGGAATCCAGGAAGTTGTAGAAAGTGATGGGCAGACGGAAGGCAGCGCTCACTACATAAAAGGGATTTGTTTTCAACATTATGAAAAACAACTCTACTATGTATTCCTATTACAATGCTGGTGTTATAACTGTAGAGGCTATGCTGAGACTTTACAACTCCTTTTAACCCTTTGGGTGGTTCAGTGGATATGCTGTTGGCTAATGGATAGATATCAGAGTGTGGTTGTAAACGGTTTCATTTAGAACAGGTACCAGTCACTAGTGGTCAAGGCTCTGTACTAGGTCCTTTTCCATTTAATCTCTTTGCAAGCGATCTAACGTAAGGTTTTGTTTGGGTAACGTATGCTAAGAAGCAAACTCCTGTGCTACTCCATCTAGTGGCAGGAATTCTGTGTAAATGAGATTTGCCCAGCTATTTTCTGGTGGAAGATTTATACATCAGCCCCATATCATGTCACTTCTGCAATAAAAATAAAATGGCTTCCTGCTAGCATTTTGAGTTGAATTTCTGCTTTCATTCGCTGTCTCCAGAATCTGAGTGTATTTTTCTTTTCCTCAAGGTAAAGGGCCTGGGCAGTCAGACCTCCAGTATGTGGACAAGTTTGGATTCCATACCGTGACATGCTGTGGCTTTATCCCTATCGTAAGATTGCTATAGTATCTATCTATCTATCTATCTATCTATCTATCTATCTATCTATCTATCTATCTATCTATCTATCTATCTATCT